GGAGCATCTGGCAGCATATTCACTTGCATGACTGGTGGTTGGTGCTGACTAACCTAACCAGGATCTAGCATCTGAGGCTGTTGACTGAAGTAACTTTAAATGGCCTCTCCATGAGGCCTGGGCTTCTCATAGCATGACAGTCTTAAGATAGTTAGACTTTGTTTTTTGTATTGTTGTTCAGTTACAGTTGTACCAATATTTCCCCCATTGTTCTCCCCTACCCCACCAATGCCCCCTCCCTCAGTCAGTCCCCACCCTATTGTCCATTACCATGGGTCCTTTATACATGTTCATTGTCAAGGTAGTTAGACTTCTTATGTGGCATCTTAGGCACTCTAAGTGTGATTGTTCCAGCTAACAAGGTGGAGAATACATTACCTTTTCTGATCTATTCTTCTAAGTCACATGGTATCACTGCCAAGACATTCAATTGATTATAAGCAAGTCACACATTAACCCAGATTCAAGGGGAAGAGACATAGACCCCATTTCTCAATAGGAGTAGTGTAAAGAATTTGTGGTCATTTCTGTAAAACACTACAAGAATCTACCTAACTCCCTCCTTTAGGATTCTGCTCCTTCTCTCATCCCTCTAGGCCCAGAAATGGTAAAACCATGCCCCCACCTTCCTACCTAGGACCTTTATTAAAACTTTCCTCAGATTATCCTAAATTGAGTATTACCTGTTTCTTGTTGGAACCCTGTCTCATACAGTAATTGGTGCCAGATGTAGCCCGAGGAAACAAACTTTCAAAATGTAATTCTAGGATTATGTTGCTAATATATTCAAGGCATGTAGGTATAATTTTCTTGCCTAGGGAGAAGGTTGGGTGTTGGGTAATCCATGACATATGGTGGCACCACAATTTCCCATGCATCACTAGTTATATTATAGGATGAGTTACAGATGGTGAAAAAGACATTGGAAGATTAAATTGACAATGGCGTTTAGTCGCTGTGGCAACAAGTGTAGCATCACCTGATTGTAGAATGACTTTTCTTTTTATGGCCCTTCTTTTTATGACATACATAGGGAAAATGAAATTAAATGTTGTGAATATACATAAAAAAGAACACCCATGAACATACATGAATAATCAGGACACATCCATGGGGCTGTGGAGGAGTCTTCTGTATCCTGTGGTTATAGGCAGATACTTGGACTTAAGACCAAATCTAGGGACTGAGCTTATGAACTGCATAGTTGCAGAGACAATTAAATGCTCAACCCCACAAGGTCTATTATACTAGGGTAAGGGCACTGCTGGAAGAAAAGAACTCTGAGACCTGGTATGGGTACATTCAGGGAGGCATGGATAAGGCTGAGAATTGCAAACCTCCATACTCCCCTGAACTTCTTTGCCTAAGAAGGCAACCTTTCCCCAGTCTCTGAAGCAGTCATCCCTTCTCTGCATAAAAGTCTCTCAGTGATTACACCTGGAAGAGTTGACTAGTGACCCTGTTTGGTTACTATAAAACCCAGAAGAATCATGGGAAAATAACAGATTATCACAAATTTAATCAGGTGGTGATGAAAAAATTGCTATTCCAGATGTGATATCTTCTCTGGAACAAATTAACACAGAACTATGCAACTGATATAGAACTTTTGACTGAGAAAATGTTGTTTTCTTCCAAACCGTTTGCATTTAAACAATAGGAACAAGAGTAATATTAACTTTACTGTTTGTGCCTCAGGGTGATGTCAGCTTCCTTGTTCTTTATCATAATATAGACCCAAATTAATCCAAACATCTTGATACCACACAAAACACCATACTGGTCCATTACATTAATGACAATATGCTAAGCAGGAAATAGCAAGCAACCTAAATGTATCTATGATTAATATATTAATATACATACACACAGACACAAGTCACATATACAGATATATAGAGTCCTGCAGAAGTAAGGCCTGCTTGACTGTGGTTGGTAGGGTAATAATATGGGTATAATAATTTGTAGTTTTAATTTGAACATTTCACCTAAAATGTCACATGGTGTGCTTAAGTGTGATATTGTTGTGTTACAGAATTACATACTTATGATTTTGTAATAAAAGATTTTGTAACAGAAAGGGGCATTATTTGTGCCAGACCCTGTATATAATGTATGTATATAATAAGACTATCTTGTTCCTGACTTTAATGAGGATGGATCCCATATTTCACTATTTAACATAATGTTCACTGTTAGTTTCAAACGAATACCTTTTATCATGTTTAAAGTTTTCTTCTATTCTTACCTCGTTTGGGATGTCTGCAGAATGTCATCAAATACTTTTTGAGCATCTTTCATATGATCACATTTCAAATTATACTTATACTCAATGGTGTGCTGGCAAATGTTAACAACTGGCTCTAGGAAAAAATGCAGAGGGGTGGCTATTAGAGGGAAAGCCCTTATCTGTAGCATTTGCTGATCTACGATGTAAATATGCCCATCATACCAGGTTCCAAGCTGCTGGTATAACATCACTGAATGTAGATTGGAACACATGAGCATAACTGGCTCTCACAAGCCAGTACTAGCAAGCTCCAGCACAGTACTGTGCTACATTCCTAGGAAAACTGCCCTCTGTCACAGTGTATTAATTATTTTAAACTTATCTGGATCTAATTTGCCTTATTTGCTAGCAACCTGTTTAAAATTTTTCTATCTATACTAATCAATAAAGTTGGTTTACCTTTTTCAGAGGCTCTGTTTATCAGGTTTTGGCATGAAAGTTATACTAAACTTGAAAATAAAGTAGAAAAGCTTCTATTTTCCATTACACTATTACTCTAAAATAGTTTAATTAATATAGTAATCATGTGTTTAATGAAAGTCAGATGGGAAAGTCACTGAGCCTTGTGCCTTATTTAGTGATAGATGCTTCATTATTGGCATTCTCATTTTGTTGCCTGTAATTAATTGCTATAAATGTGTATATTAGAGTCCTATCTCCCTTCCCATGCTATATATCTTTAGCTACATATACACATATGCATCTCTTTTCCCCCCTTTATCAGAGTTATTGAGTGCTTGTCTATTCTTTTGGATATTCAAAGAATCAACTCTTGGTCTAAAAATTGTACATAGACTTTTAAGGTGTTGTTTTATAATTCAGTAACTTCTGTTCAAAACTTTAAAAACTGTCTTTCACTTTCTATTGGTGTATTTTTGTTTCCTAGAATCTGCAGTTGAATGACTAGTTCATTTATCGTCAATCTTTTTTTTTACATTTTAATTGTTGTTCAAGTACAGCTTTCTGCCTTTTCCCCCCACCCTAGCCCACCCCCACCAGCCCTCCCCACCTCTTTCCCATTTCCACACCCCACCCTGTTATTGTCCATGCATCCTTTATACTTGTTCCTGCAAACCCTTCACCCTTTTCCCCTGAAATTCACTCCCTTCTCCCCTCTGGTCACTGTCAGCCTGTTCTCCATTTCAGTGTCTTTGGCTATATTTTGCTTTTTGTTTGTTTTGTTGACTAGGTTCCTGTTAAAGGTGAGATCATTTGATATTTGTCTTTCACTGCCTCGCTTATTTTGCTTAGCATAATGCCTTCCAGTTGCACCCATGCTGTTGCAAAGGTTAAGAGCTCCTTCTTTCTTTCTGCTACATAGAATTCCATTGTGGAAATGTACCATGGTTTTTTGATCCACTCATTTACTGGGCACCTAGGTTGCTTCCAGCACTTGGCTATTGTAAATTCTGCTGCTATGAACATTGGGGTGCATAGGTTCTTTTGAATTGGTGTTTCAGGGCTCATAGGATATAATCTCAGCAGTGGAATTGCTAGATCAGAAAGCAGGTCCATTTTTAGTTTTCTGAGGAAATTCCATACTGTTTTCCACAGTGGTTGCACCAGTATGCAGTCTCACCAACAGTGCACTAGGGTTCTCTTTTCTCCACAACCTCTCCAACACTTGTTGTTTGTTGCTTTGTTTATGATGGCCATTCTATTGTCAATCTTTCTTGTTCAATAAGGATAAAATAGTTATTAACTTCTCTCATAAGGGTCATTAGTTTAAGTTATTGAGTATGGTTGACCCTTGAACAACTCAGAGGGTTGGGGTGCCCATGACCCATGCAGTTGAAAATCCATCTGTAGCTTAAAGATGGCCCTCCACATACATGGAATTCCAATTGCCAGTTGACCTTTGAACGATATGGGTTTGAACTGCATGGGTCAACTGAAAATATCTGACCATAAGTGGACCAGTGCAGTTTGAGGGCCAACTATAGGATGTTCTAGGTTCAAGCAAAGGGTGAGCAAACTAGAACCCATGGATTTGGACTTGTGTGCAACGTGCTTTTTTTGGACTGTGAGTTAAGGATGGTTTTTTATATGTTTAAAGTTGCAAAAACAAAGAAAACTATGCAACGGAGACCATTTGTGGCCTTAAAAGGTTAAAACATTTCCATCTAGTCCTTTACAGAAAGTCGGTGGACTGGTGGTCTAGTCTAATGGCAGTAGATAGCAGCCAGTTAACATTATTCGGAACCCTTCCAACCCAGAGCTTGCCTAATTTATAAATTCCCATCTTAGTAGCCTTCCTCCAGTGTAGTATTTCTCAAATGTTTTTATATCTTTGCACCACTCACCTACAAAATATTTTTCATAAGAAATATTTATCATAGAAGTCCCTCATAAAGGAGGAAAAGGGGAACCCCCAACACCCTTTAAAGGTCAGTGATTTACTGCCTCCATTTTTTAAAGATTTTACTTATTTTTAGAAGGAGAGTAAAAGGAGAAACAGCAATGTGTGGTTGCCTCTCCACATGCCTCCTACTGGGGACATGGCCCAAATCCCAGGCATGTGCTCTGACTGGGAATTGAACCAGTAATCCTTTGGTTCACAGGCCTGCACTCAATCCACTGAGCCATACCAGCCAGGGCTACTGCCACCATTTTCAAGTTTATAATATTTTAAATGTTAATTTCAAATTGTCAATGAATATTTCAATGATGCAGATCTTCCCCTCTGGTTTTCAAGTGAAAAAGAAGACTATGTCCTTTAAAATATTTATTTTTTGGTCATGTTAGAAATCAGTGTTAATTTTTATATTAAGTTGGTATGTAGCAACAGAACTCTGTCAAAAGCAATGAAATCCAACCTAGGTCCAGCTATCCCTACGATAAAATTTCTGAGGGACATAAATAAATGAGGCAATGGCAAATGGAAAACAGTCTATAGTGCTTCCTAAAATTATACTTGTGTATCCAAATACTTGCCTCTCTGGTAATCCCCTCCACCCACCTCCTCAATTCAAGTTTAGATCAGAGGCCTAAGAAGGACTTTTCTTAAGCCCAAATCCAAATACTATCACATAATTCTTAAGCATTCCTGTCATGAGACAGTAAGGCAGCAGGCCAGGCTTGCAGCCCAAGGTGAGAGGAGTGTTCAGAAAAAGCAAAAGCACAGAGGAGCATGGAAACTTACCACTTTTTCAGTAAACTGGACTAGGCTTTTTGGGCTCCAAAGGACCTTTCTTGGCAGCCAAGTGAAAGCACAGGAATCATGGCTCAATCTGTCTCAAATAGGTGTGTCCTGTAGATCCTCACTTATTGCTTCCACACTGTTGAAACATAAGTACAAAAGAATACCCCAAAAGTCCCACCCATTTTAGGGCACTTAACTCATAGTGACAACTGTCCACATACCCACTCCCCCAAAAAGCTTCAAAACAAAAACCTACTCCCAAACTGTGTCCTTAGATCCATCCTAAAAGATTATACTATATACAACTTCAGTTTAAAAAATGCATTTTCCCAAAGCTGAATGATTGAGATTATACTCTGCAGAGTTCTTATCACTTTTGAAACTGTTAAGAATATAAAACTGAATTTTTTTAAAAAGCAGCTAAGTGGGTTTGCATGTAACATTTGAACCAAAAAGCCTTGGAAATTTGGTGTTTTAAAATGGACCGCCATTGCGGTCTTGAGGAACAACTACACTGGCTTGCATATAAATAATCACACACCAAAGAACCATGCTGATTTTACATATTTGAGATAAATAAGAGTTGCAGAAGACCCCAAATTACCCCCAACCCAACCTTAACCTAGATACATTTGTATTGATATTGTCTCAGTAAGAACCACATCACAAATTATCTCTCTAGATTCCTTGTCTGGCATAGCCCACACACTAGGCACACTGTCAATTTCAAATACATAAATACATCTCAAAACTAAAAAAGAACTGTTTCTGCTTTCTGACTCTTAACAGGTAGATGTTATACCCATTTTATACATTAAGGATATCTAAACCACAAATTAGTATTGTAATGGCTTTATCATGGATTTAGGGGTATAATAATTATTGTAAGAATGAAATGATTCCCACCAACACATATGGGGTGGATAAAACAAAGAAATGGGTGATCACATAGCCAGATATACAAATACACCAAGAAATTAGTCACAATTTTTTAAAAATCACATAGCTTAAATATTTGACAGCTGTGCAAAATAAAATCCTGACAATGAAATGAAGACTGAGGGGTGGGAGGATAGGGGCAGGGCAACGGGTGGAAGAGGAAATGGATAGATAAAAGGATTCTCATATTTATGTTGCAGTTTTAGGGAAGCGAGGCATGTGTTCTATTACGATCTTTTCATATTGTCTTTTTCTCCCACTGCTGTGGGAATAAATCTTTATGGTAGCAAGAGAATAAGCTAAACCAAGGTAGAACTGCTGTGATCAATGTGTTTTATTTTCCCCCAAAAGCAAAGGCAGATGCATGAGGTCTGGTAACAGGCGAAAAGTCACTTGGTTAGTATGAGCCATCAGATCCCCTGTCCTGAGGGGGAGATGGTTTCTTGCAGAACGAGGTGAAGGAGGTGGTTCTGCTCGGCACTCAACAGTGGCCACATCTCCACCTGCAGCGATTTGATGGCTTCCGTGTCCTTTTCGTGGGTAGCCATGACCAAGGACTGGAGCAGCAGAAAGAGCTCCTCGGGAAGCTGGCCACTGGTCTCCTGCCCATGGCTGTCGAAAGCCTCCCAGGAGTACTTCTCCAAGGTGTGGGCATGCTCTGGGAGGAGCTTGGCGGGTGGTGGTTGCAGGAGTAGCAGCAGCAGCACGCGGGATACCTCACAGCGTACAAGGATGTCTGAGAAGGCGCCCAGTACTGCGGGAGAGGGTGCGGCCGCAGAGCCAGCATTCGGAGGGAGCAGCGCAGCCTGCAGGGCTGGGGACGCGCCGAGTCCATGCTGGAGGCCTAACGGCTGCGGCTGTACCTGAGGCTGCGGCTGCAGTGGGACCGGCGGCAGCGGCTGCACCGGGTGGCTGCCGTGCTCCCGCGCTAGGCGTTGCATGCGCGTGAAGAGCGCCAAGGCGCCATTGTAGTCGCGCGACAAGAGCTGGCAGGAGGCGGCGTCGCCGAGTGCTTGCAGTGCGGCCAGGGGCAGCTGGGGCAGCTGAAGTTGAGCGGCGCGCTGGAAGTGGACAGCGGCAGCGCCCGGCTGACCCAGGTCGCGCAGGGCGGCGGCCAGCTCCAGGCAGAGGGCGGCGGCAGCGGCCGGCTGGCCCAACTCAAGGTGCAGGCGCACAGCAGCACCCAGGGCGCTGGCTGCTGCCTGCAGCGGCTCCCCGTAGGCGGCTGGGCAGACGAGGCGCTGGCGCGCATCGCGCTCCTGCCGCAGGAAGAGGCGGGCGGCCTCGGTGAGGGCCAGAGCTTCCCCGGGTCCGTGGAAGAGCGCCTGATGGCAGCGCGCAACCGCCAGCTGGCACCAGGCCGCGTAAGGCAGGCACTCCTGGGCACGCAGCTCTCGGCCCAGTTGTCCGAACTGCTCGCCGGCCTCCGCCACATTAGGCTTCCGCAGGAACCGCTTTTTCAGCTTGTTCGACACCTGCCGATACCTGGCCAGGAAGTCCCCAGCATCCGGCCCCGGGCCCGCGCCTCCCAGGCCGCTCGCAGACGCCGCCATGTTCCCAGGCCGAGCACTTCCGGGCGCGCCTACGCAGCTGGTGGACGTGCGAGTGCCGGCGGTTGGCTGCAACGTGCCCAGCGTCCAGCTGAAGCTAGCCACGCGACCTCGCCCGCACCTAAGCCTGGAGCCCCCTTATTGCCCTAATGATATGCAAAATATCGGGTTCCTGAGGCGGGGCCTGGCCCCGCGCCTCTGTTGCTAGGTGACAGCTTGTTTACCCAGGTTGCTAAGGGTGTTTCCTAATATCTCTCAGGGACCAGGAGTCAAACTGAACTCCTGATCCCGTGTGACCATCATTCGGATTTCGGATTTTCTTGATTGCCCTCCACCCCCACCAATCTTCCCGTCCATCCACTGCCCCATTGGAGTCCACGCCAACCCCTCTGTCCCCTCCATCATCTCGCACCCGAGTTGGCATGACACATTCACCCTATCACGATGCCTTAGCCATGGTCTAAGCACTCCACCCCCATGAACACCATCCTTCGGGGGACTTTGATGGGCTTTGACTTGCTCAGAGGCCATGGGGGAGTCTTCCACACCCCATCCTCACAGCCATCTCAGGCAGCCTCCCCCACCCAGGGCCACACCCTGCACCGGCACCTCCGGAGGCTGCTCCTCTCACCATCCCTGACTCCACCCTCACCCGCTGGCAGACACCACCCTGCCCCGATCCCTCCAATGACTTCTGTCCCTCAACCCCCACGCAGACACAGTGACCGAAGCAGGCACATGGGTTTCTTTCAAGAGTAAACTATTTATTTTCAATAGCTTTGCCCAAGGCACCAGCCAGGCTTGGGCTGCTTGGGCTGCAAAGAGGCCTGGCGCCCTGGGGTTGAGGCCCAGAGAACCCATGTCCAGTTGGGCAGCTACTGCCAGCCCGGGGCCACTAGGGAAACGATGACACCCTCAAAGAAGACACTGATCAGGGCGTTGTTGTGGATGGCCATGTCCACCAGCTCTGGGGTGATGCGCCTGCAGCCGCTCCTCTGGGCCTCGTTCCCGGCCAGCTGCAGGACAGTGGCGGTCAGATATTGTATGATGGCAGCAAGGAACACGGGTGCGGATGAGGTCAGATGCCGGGCGTAGTGGCCTTCGCGCAGGAGGCGCTCCACGTGGCTGACGGAGAAAAGCAGCTCAGCTCTGGAGGTACGGGTGCGGATCCGCCTCTGGCTATGGTGACCGGTACCAGACGACCCCCTACGGCTCCTTCGACCAGGCATGCTGGGTGTTGGGTGCTCTTGCTCCCACCGGCCTAGCTCTGCAGTGTGCTGCGGGGTGCTGCGGGGTGTCTCCGTGCGGCCAGGTGAGGTCAGGTGCGGTCAGGTGAGATTGGGCAGTTGGTCCCAACGTCTCTGAACGGCCAGTACACAGGCCCCTGCTGCGTATCCTAGCAACCACGGGCCGGCCCCTGGTTGGTGGAGGCACAGGCTGTGTGACACCCCCGAAGTTCCATGAGGTTACTGCTTTGCCATTGGCCCTTGTGGGCCTGGGCCTGCCAAGCAAGGGCGCTTGGTGGCACCCTGCGCACGCGGCCCACTGGGCCGTCTCTTCGACGGAGCTCTCTGTTTCCTCTGGCCAGGAATGTTGTACGGAAACAGCAACAAACATGTATGATCCCATGGCACCAGGTCAGCACTCGTGGTGTTGGGCGGCCATCACAACTGTCTACTTCCATGACGTTGGGACCACCCAAAAAGAAACCCCTGCACCCATCAGGCAGTCATTCCCCACTGCCCACCCCTTGCCCCGCTCCCCCTCCCCTGGCTGACAACCTCTCCTCTCCCCGAGAACCCAGGCAAATAGGAGCCTGCTTCCTGTGCATAGAGGTGTGTCCACTCTAGAGACTTCTAGAGATGCAATCATACAACGAGTAGGTGGCCTTTTGTGTCTCTGGCTGCCTTCACTTAGCATAATGTTCTCCTTATGGTTCACTCACATGCCAGCATGCATCAGCACTTGAGACTTCCATTGTGTGGATGGACGACGTGTTGTGCACCTGTTCATCAGCTGATGGCCTTTTGGGTGATTTTCACCTTCTGGCTGTTGTGACTAGCACTGCGGTGAACATTCCTGTACAGGGTTCTGTTTGAACACCTGTTTTCAGGTCTTCTGGGTATATATCTAGGAGTGGAATTGCTGGGCCATAAGGTAATTCTGTGTTTAACTTGCTGAGGAACTTCCCAACTGATTTCCACAGTGGCTGTGCCACTTTGCACTCCCAGTGAGAGTGTATGAAGGTCCCACTTTCTCCACATCCTTACCAGCACTTGTTGTTTATTGATTTATTGATGATACCCATCCTGACAGGTGTGAGGTGATACCTTATTGTGGTTTTAATTTATATCTCTTTGAAGAGTGGTGACATTGAGCATCTTTTTATATGTCTATTGGCCATTTGTATCTCCTCTTTGGAGAAGTATTTATTGAGGTCCTGTAACCATTTTTTAAATCAGATTGTTTGGGTTTTTGTTTGTTTGGGGGTTTTTTGGTGTTGACTTTTGTAAGCTCTTTACAAAGTTTGGATATTAACCTTTTATCAGATGTATCACTACATATGTTCTCTCATTCTGTGGGTTGTCTTTTTATTTTGTTGATGATTTTCTTTGTTGTGCAAAATCTTTTTAGTTTGAGGTAGTCCCATTTGGGTTGTTGTTGTTGTTGTTGTCGTTATTGTTTCTTTGCCTTAGGAGATACATCAGTAAAAATATATAGTGCTATGAGCAATGTCCAGGATTTTACTGCCTGTTTTTTCTTCTAGGATTTTTATGGTTTTAATTCTAACATTTAAATCTTTAATCCATTTTAAATTTATTCTTGTGTGTGGTATAAGAAGATGGTCTAGTTTCATTTTTCTGCATATATCTGTCCAATTTTCCCAACACCATTAATCGAATAAATTATATTTGTATGTGCTTGCTTCCTCTGTTGAATATTAATTGACTGAAAAAGTGTGGGTTTATTTCTGGGCTTTCTATTCTATTCCATTGATCTGTGTGTCTGATTTCATGCCCGTACCAGGCTGTTTTGACTACCATGTCCTTATACTATAGTTTGATATTAGGTAGTGTGATTCCTCCAACTTGTTCTTTTCTTCTCGGGATTGCTGTTGCTATGTAGGGCCTTTTGTGGTTCTATATACATTTTTTAAATATTTGTTCTAGTTCTGTGATATACAGGAAGGACTAATGGACATGGACAAAAGTGTGGTGATTACAGCAGAGAGGGAGGTATAAGGAGACTAAATGGTAATGGGAAAATAAATAAATAAATAAATAAATAACTGAAAAAAGGTCATACATCATGATCACCTGGGTTTTATTCCTGGGATCAAGGTTGGTGCAATATGCACAAATCAATAAATGTGATACATCACATAAACAAATGATAAAATCATATGATTATATATATCAATAGATTCAGAAAAAGCTTTTGACAAAATGCAGCACCCATTTTTAATCTGAAAAACTCTCAGCAAAGTGGGAATGGTTGGAACACATCTGAACATAATGACAATATCATAGCTAATATCACAGCTAATATCATACCCAATGGCAAAACACTAAAGGCCTTTCCCTGCAGATCAAGAACAAGACAAGGATGTCCACTTTCAACACCCTTAATCAACATAGTACTGAAAGTCCTAGCTACAGCAATCAGACAAGAGGAAGAAATAAAAGGCATCCAAACTCGAAAGAAAAGAGTAAAACTGTAATTATTTGCAGATAACATGATACTGTATATAGAGAACCCTAAAGACTGCACCAAAAAATACTAGAACTGATAAATAAATTTAGTAAAGTAGCAGGATATAAAATAAATATCCAGAAATTGGTTGCATTTAATACACAAGTAATGAACTATTAGAAAGGGAAACTGCGAAACAGTACCATTTAAAATTGGATTTAAAAACATACCTAGGAATAAATTTAACCAAGGAAGTAAAATACCTGTACTCAGAAAATTAGAAGACACTGAAAAAAGAAATTAAAGAAGATACAATAAGTGGAAACACATGCTGTGTTCATGGATAGGAAGAATTAACATTGTTAAACTGTCCATGCTACCCGAAGCAATGTATAAATTCAACGCAATTCCTATCAAAATAATAATGATGTATTTCACAGAAGTAGAACAAACAAGCCAAAAATTTACATGAAACCACAAAAGACCCTGAATAGCCTCAGCAATCCTGAGTAAGAAGAACAAAGTTGGAGGAATTATAGTTACATAATATCAAACTATACTATAAGGCCATAGTAATGAAATCAATATAGTATTGGCATAAATACAGATATACTGATAAACTGAACAGAATAGAAAGCCCAGAAATAAACCCATGCCTATATGGTCAACTAATATTTGACAAAGGAAGCAAGAACATAAAATGGGGTAAAGACAGTCCATTCAATAAATGGTAACAGGAAAATTGCACAGATACATGCACAAAATGAAACTAGACCAGCTTTTTACACCACATAAAGAATAAACTCAAAATCTATTAAAGATTTAAACTTAAGGCTCAAAATAATAAAATTCCTAGAAGAAAGCACAGGTAGCAAAATCTTAGACATTTCTCTTAGTAATATTTTTTCTAATATATCTCATCAGGCAAGGGAAATGAAAGACAAATTGGACTACATTTAACTAAAAAGAAACCATCAACAAAATGAAAGACAACTGAATGGGAGAACATATTTGCTAATAATACATCTGATAAAGGGTTTATATCTGAAATTTATAAAGAATTCATACAACTCAATACCAAAAAACCCTACAAACCCCAAACAATCCAATTAAAATATGGGCAAAGGACCTGAATAGATACTTTTGCAAAGAGGACATATGGATGGACAATAGACATGTGAAATGATGGTCTATATCATTAATCATCAGAGAAATGAACATGAAAACCACAATGAGATATTGCCTCACATGTGTCAGAATGGCTATCATCAATAAAATAACAACAAGTGTTGGCAAGATGTAGACAAAAGGGCACCCTCATCCACTGTTGGTGAGAAGGTGCACTGGTGCAGCCACTATGGAAAACAGTATGGAGGTTTCTCAAAAAATTAAAAATGAAACTGCATTATGACTCAGCAATCCTACATTTGGGTATATATCCAAAGAAGCCC